CAACATTGTTGAAGAAAAAGATTTGAAAGCTATTCAAGAGATGTATTAGCATAATATTCAAGCATTTCGTTTGACATTATGCAATTATGTTGTTTTTCGTGCTGAAATCAACACTCAATTTGACTTTGAAACATACGGTCGAAGAAGAATACAATCAGTAACCATGTAAACAGCTGGTTTTTTTGGTCAACTCATCAAACAGCTAAACAAATGAGTAGAGAACGATGTCGTTACTTATTATCATTGTGTTACATTGATGCACGACATTTTAAACGCATCCAACAAGTATTTTTCTGTATGATTTTAGCTTATCAACCCATGAATCATCAACAAGCGTGGGTCGAATCAGTTCAAGGGCTTGTCGATGCTTTTTTGAATTTTGAGTTTATGTTTGCAAATGAGAAGATACGCCCTCTGACGAGAGACACTACTGCTGCCATTTTCATAGCTAAAACAAAAATAAAAGTACTGATGATTCACTGTGTAAGTCATGAGTAATGTTAGAACAGAAAGCAATATTGTTACAAGGTATGAATGCAAGAGAACAGAAAAAAAAAACGAGTATACTGAGAAGAAGCAAACAAGAGAGAATTACATGTTGTTGTGCAAACGCTTTACATCATCATGTCATCGAATTTCTTTGATCATCTACCTGTTGAATTAATTTATAAAATTTTCGACTATCTCTGGGCACATGAAATTTTTGATGCTTTTTTTAATGTCAGTGAATATCTTCGTGCTGTCTCGAAAAGTTATGATCGATTTTTAATCAACTTTCAATCGGTTCGCAAGACACAATTCGATCTTACTTGTCGTCTCATTCGACCTGATCAAGTCATTTCATTGTCACTCTCTGATAAGAACAATACTCTTGATCAATGTATTCTTTTCTTCTCGTATTTTTCTATCGAACAATTTGTCAATCTTCGATCATTCGAAATAGATTCATTTAATGAAGGTACGTTTGAACGATTGAGAAGTCTTTTACAACTCAAATACTTATCATCATTACATTTGCCCAGTCGTCTATGGCATTCTGGAGCTTTCAAAACATTCATTCGATCAATAGTACCACGACTTCGTCGACTAGTAACCGATGATTGTTTCTTCGAACATTCTTTGGATCATTTACAGCACTTAATATTAACACGATGTCATTGTACAGAAATCAAGCATTTGTTCAAGAACATACGTCATATTCGTTCTTTAAAAATTACTCTAGTCGACTATGGTAATCCTCCTTGGCCTGCAAATGTAGAGATCTTATCAGAACTTCGTCAGTTTTCTCTCAGAGTTGACAACGGTGCGATGGGAATTACTGAAATAAAAAATATTTTACATGCTATGCCATGTGTGAAATATTTAGAACTTGATATTCTATGTGAAATCGATTTAGTCGACGGTCATCAATGGGAATCCATTGCTATTAATCTCATTCGATTTGACTTTCGATTTCGTGTTGTACGTTGGTCGGCATGTGATATTGCGAAAACTAACCATCTTAATTCGTTTCGAACACCATTCTGGCTTGAACAAAAACGTTGGTTTGTTGCTCATGATAATTGCAAACCACTAACTATTTTCACTATTCCTCGCTTCATGCCGAAAGATTTAGAATGGCCATCGAATAATACCATAGAAGATTGTACAACTGATATTTTCAAACCTAATAATTACGTCGAACATCTAAATTTATTTCCTACTAAACAAAGCACACAAGTTGAAAACAACTTTGATTTACGAACTTTAATCAAAGATAAACCACGTCTATACTCATTGAATATCTGTAATCCGTTGTCATTCAATATTCTACATGACAAAGTTGTCTATGAACAAATACGAACTTTACGTTTTAGTTTCGAGCAAGATCAATCATCATCATCATCATCATTTAATCCGGAACAGATATGTGCAGCATTTCCTCGATTAGAATGTTTGAACATATCAGTTGAATCACTGCAAGCGTTATGTGTCTTTATCGATCGACTGAAATATTTATCTGATGCGTATTTTCGTTTCAATTTTAGTATTAAGAAATTGTGTTGTTGGCGACGACAGCGAATGACACGTCAATGGTTTATTCGACATAGTCGACGATTATCCCATGACCGATACTTTACCAGTGCAATAACCGATCACAGTGTACGATTGTGGATGAGTGATAAAAAGGAATCATCATCATCATCAATATTTAAGAGAATCATAAAATGGAGCAACAAGTGATAGATTTTATTCGACTCCAGTTGTTTATTGACATGTGAGCACCACGAACATTGAACTTGAATATTTTAAGCAATTGAATAACATTCTAGATTTTTTTTTTTCGTTCACTATTCATTATAACGATGAAATATCAGACAAGAATGATCAGTATTTATGTAAAGACCGATATCACTTTCATGTTGATTTTAGTGATCAAAGCACTTCGTTCTAGTTATAACCATTCAATTGAAAGTTGAATTTACGTGTACCATCATAAAAAACAAAGTTGTGATATCTTTTGTAGCATTGTTTATGAAATTCTCGATAGGAAAGATATATATATAGTAGTGAAAGAAAATGGTTTTAGTTTGTTAGGACCTCTTTACGTAAACTGAATGTATTATTAACAAATGTTCAATATATCGATTCTATGAATACAAACGACAAGAATGTGTTGAAGGAGAAGAAAGGAAACAAAACAATATCAATGTGCGTACATTACTTATTACATATAAAAGTAGTTGTAGATACTTGATTTCGGCATAAAAAGCAAGGTCATTTGTATTATGAAATATCTAACTAGCTAACAGAAATATTAAAAGTATAACTATTTGAATTACTATGACTCAAGTCCAGTCATATTTACGAACTTTTAAGAATAATTAGGAATGATCATGGCCACGACTATAATAACTAAGATCAAGCATGATGAACTCAAAAAAAACAAAAATAAAAAGAAAGGTCTTGTTCAACTGACTTAAACCTCCGTGTCAAAAATTTCAATATTTGTCAGATATATCGGCTTATGAGCTTTCTACATGGTCGAATAACCCACATTTTCTACTTTCGAATTCACTAACATTCTCAGCTTCGGGTGTGAGTCAAGAGGCTACCCTAAACACAATCACACCCACACGCCAAATCTCATGTACACGTGATATTAATAATTTACACAAAAAAATGGGTATTTAAAAAACCAGTTGGCACTTGTTGCATTTCTTTGTTCATTTAGTCCAAATAATTATCAATAATATTGATTCATTGAACGAGAACAATGATTTATTCAATTCATTTTCTGATAGTTTCTCGTTATGATTTTATCTTTTTTATTACTGTCATTTTTAATGCACAGCCCATATGAGGGTTTAAAGTTCAATAAGTGGCATGAAACACGTTGCCGAATCAACTCTGCATTTATCGTTGCTTGAAAACAAATTACTTATTTTCCAATTGAACCTCGTAGAAGATTGGTTTGTGTTTTTATATGGATCTATCGAAAATCTCCAACGAATCTTATTTTGAAATGTTTCTATTTTGCAATGAAATATGAGTGAGATATCTTCAAAATACAGAGAAGTTTATCATTTATGGCACTCGTTATTTTCAACTGTATCAAATAATAATCAATAAACATCGTGACTGAAAATTCATACGTAATGATTTTTGATCACATGTTTTAAGATGAGTGTCACCAGTGGTTCCAGCATCAATTCTTCTGAAAATATGATTCTATGTCACGACTCCAAGGCTGTTCGATGAATATTGATTCTTCAAACGTTGTTACATCTCGTCATTTCTTGCATTTACATTGTTACAAAATGAATAGCAATTAAGAAAAAAAATCTATTTATTTGTTTCACCTTGTCGATCGACAGAATTGAATGATCGTACCATTCAAATTTTCTTCAAGTTTGTTTTCATGTGTTGCTTTAAAAAGATCGTAACTGGAATCTAAACTGGATTAATCTGCATCTGTTACCGGTTATATATAAATAGAGTTTTGTAAATTTTTCTTTTCTTACATGAAAATTATTGATCAATAGATCAAAATGAAAGAAAAATAAAAGAATGAAGAAAAGAAGTATAAAAAACAGTAACCTGTTGAGTACTGCGATTCGTTGTTCTTCGAGAAGTGATTTTAACATTGATTGGTACAGTCAGTGCATGTACAAGAGAATTGCGCAGCAGGCATGTGTTACAAGAAATATAACCGGTTTTTACCAACTACACTCTCGCTTTTGCCTATTAATAGAGGTAGTAAAAAAACAATCAACTCTTCAAACAGTGTTCTCTGTGTTTTACTTTAATCATCGATAATTGATGTGCTACAGATTTTATTAAAAAGAAGATTCTGTCTCTTATCAGGTCTGATTCTTTGAAAGTAGTTTATTGTATAGGATCATTGATTCGAAAAGAATAGAAATAGTAGAAGCATCGGATAAGAATGATGCGTTGGAAATAAATAAAATCTAGATATCATTGTTCGTTATAATAATTGAATATTTAGATTACTACTGAACACATTGTAACTAATCCAAAATCAATGATGGCTTATAATGATGGTATGAACTATATATCAAATTTAACTGTGATACGTTTAACAATGGACGATGAAAACTTGATGAACAATCAAGATCCACCACAGAACACCATGAGACCAATATCAATTCCTGATGAAGCATCAGAGAAAGTTCAGGCTTCACTTCCGCCACAGTCTTCGGTTTCTATAGTATCTCATCAAAATCGAGAACGTAAATCGGTAGCAAACATCGATCCATCTCAACGACAATTATCTATACTTGATCCATTATCAGATCGTGTCAGCACAGTGCTTGTTTGGAAGAATTTAACTGTTTTAACACGTGAAAATAAAGTTACCGAATTCTGTCAACGAATGAAATGTTGGAAAAAATCTACACTCAAACGACAGCGATTATTGAATAATATCAGTGGTGCAGTTACAGGTGGACTATGGGCTGTAATGGGTACGTTCAATCTTTTCTTTTCTCATGATATATTTAAAATACTATACCTATTATAGGTCCATCTGGTTCAGGTAAATCAACTCTCTTAAATACATTGGCATGTCGTTTAGATGTCAACACTATTGTACAAGGTCAAATAAGTCTCAATGGTGCACCATATGATAATGCAGAATTAAAACGGATAGCTGGTTATGTAATGCAGGATGATTTTTTAAATGGAAATTTAACTGTATATGAAACATTGATGTATACGGCTGAACTTCGTTTACCACGTCATACTACACGTCAACAACGTGAAGCACGTGTTCAAGAAGTCATGTTTGCTATGGGTATTAACCATGTTAAAGATGTTATTGTTGGAACTGTACTTAAAAAAGGAATCTCTGGAGGAGAAAGAAAACGTTTATGTGTTGGAATGCAATTATTAAATCGACCACAACTACTTTTTTTGGATGAACCAACATCTGGTCTTGATTCAGTTACAGCATTGGATTTAATACGAACCTTTCATTCATTAGCTCATGGTCAATTACCAGAAAAAGTTGTAACTATTGTTTGTTCAATTCATCAACCACAATCAAAAATATTTTATCTATTTGATTCATTGATTTTACTCAAACAAGGTAATATTATATATCAAGGTCCGCGACAACAGGCAATGGTAAGTAAATCGATGAAAGAATAAATTTGAAAAGAAAGAAAATTCTTTTCTAATAGGATGTTTATCGTATGGCTGGTTTTCCATGTCCATTATATACTAATCCAGCTGATCATCTACTCGATGTTATCACACCAATGAAGACAATTGATGATCAATCAGGTTCCTCTGAAAAACTAGCAAATGCTGATAAATTAATATTAGCAATTCAAGCTCCTATTGAAATCGATCTGAATATGGGTGCACACAAGCGTATTGCTCAAATGGCAAATCTACCAAAAAATCCATTATGGATTACACAATTCTTTATTCTTCTTCGACGTAATTTTCAAGAACAGTTTCGCTCATCAAAAATTATTCTCACATCGATCATTCAAACAATTATTATTGCCGTTTTAATTGGTTGTGTTTTTCTACAAATTGATAATGGACAAACAAGTATTGTGCGTCGAAGTCCGGTAATTTTTTTTTGTGCTATTAATCAAGGTGTTTTCGGTGCTCTGATGGTTATCAATTCATTTCCAGTAGAAAGAGCATTATCATTACGAGAACGAGCTTCTGGTACTTATTATGCAAGTGCTTATTTTACAGCCAAAATTTTAGCCGATACACTTGTTCAAGCTCCTATACCGGTTATATTTGTAAGTGAAAAATCATTCTTTTGATGAAGTTTTCTTCATTTAAAATGGTTTGAATATTTTTTTTTTAGTCTTGCACTGTCTATTTTCTGGTCGGTTTTCAATTGGTTGCTAGCAAATTCTTTATATTTACACTGTTCATTATTTTATGTTCTTTCGCTGCAACATCATTGGCTCTAATGGTTTCTGCTCTTTGTAGAACAACAGCTATGAGTGTCACTGTTTTACCTATGGCATTGGAAGTAACACGACTTTTCGGTGGCTTTTTCTTGGCTCCGTCTCGTTTACCAAAATATTTTTCATGGCTCGATGCTTTATGTTATATCAAATATGTTTATGTTGGTCTAAGTCTCAACGAATTAGAAGGTCTTAAATTAACATGTACAGCTAGTGAGGAGGCTTCAGGTAGATGTATAACCACGGGAGAAGCCACTATTCAAGATCTTGGTCTCGATTATATTAGTATTGGTGGATGTATTGGTGCATTATTTGCTTTTATTATTGGAATGCGAGCAATAGCTTTTTTTGGTATTCGATATCTTAAACATTAACGTGATCAATATTCAAAAAAACAACAACAACAACTTCATGTACTCTCTGATTATGATTTTCATCCGTTGCGTTTTTTTTTCTTTATTAACAAAATAAAAACAAGTGAATTTCTATTTATGTAATATTCTTTCTTACGAAATCAATAGTTCAAAAACAAATCCTTCGTCATTCTATCAGCGGATATGAATACTTATTGATCTGGCCCAGGAAGACAAGAAGATACGTTGAAAAGAACGAGTGTGCGTGTAAAATTCTAGCACGATTTTATGAGCTTCAATGAAATTAATAGAGTGGATAACTGTACATAATGTAGGACCATCTTTCTTTTCAGAAATATACACTTCAAAGACAAAATAAGTGCTATCTATTATAGTTCTCATTGCGTCTAAGCAATAAGGACATATCGGTGGCTCTGCTCTACATTCGTGATGAATTGTGTGCACAGAAATCTGGTAGCGGTGGGGAAGACTTTTGTCCACTATTTAGCTTCTGAAAATTTTGAACCATCCAATCTCATTGAAACTTCACTTTGAGAAAACACACATTTGACTGGTACTGATGTAGCAGAAACACGCATGATGTTTCCAGCAAGTTTATTAAGAGAACATTCAAACCAACAACCCACATCCATCCCAGTTAACTGATGGCGAAGAAAATTTTGTTTTTCTTGTATATGAGCTTCAGTCAGTGAATCTTTTTAGTCGAAGTGTGATTACTGTCGGATAATTAATTCTTTGTATTGGGAAGCCCACAATTATGGCCGATACAACAGTAAGATTAGACTTCTAAACTTGTAATGCCGTTTGCGATGAATCAAAAGCACAACATTTTAAGACGACAAAAAAAAAATATTTTTTAAATAAAACTTTAGCAGTCTTCTGTATTAATTATTTATATATATATATATAATGATATTTAGAAATACTTGCTCTTTTGAATGGCGTTTGAAGTATCATTCTGCAACAATAATAAAAGCGATAAATCAAAAACGAAACTCGCACTTGACTTTCATATTTTATATAAACCATATTATGGTCATGTATATTTTTGATCACATAGATATTATAGAAAAGAAAAATAAAGTTAAAGCGTATTTCGTTCATACTGGAAACAAAGTAATTACTATTAGAGATATTCAGTTCTGAAGTAAAATCAGTCGCTCTGAATTTGTGAACAACTTCTTGGTGTAATTAATCTTGTAATACTAGGCCGTTTTGGATAGAATTCTTGGTTTTTTTGGTTTTAAATGAGTTAAATATTCTCGAAAACCCGAATTTCGTTTAAGAGAAAAAGTTATCTCGTTTTTAAAAGGTGCACTACTCTCTTTCGCTTATATTATGGACAAATGAAATCGTTTATTACCACCGTTTACTCACATCAAAGGTAAAAAAAAACGGAAACTTTCATAATTTTTGATGCCATTGAAGATTTCATCATTCAAAATCCGTTTTTCATAGTCATTTTCTTTCTCAAATATTCTTGATTCTTCGCCAATATACTCCAAAATTCTCGATTTTATGAGAATAAGTCGATATTCTTGCTATAAAAGACATGTTCGCACGACATAATCAACACATTCTATCGATCAAACACAAATGGCTTGCGCTATTGGTATTGATTTAGGCACTATATACATATTCAGTAAGTTATTTATAATTTATTTAATTTACTTTTTTATCAATGTGCCGGTGTATTTCAACATGGTAAAGTTAAAATAATTGCTAATGATCAAGGTAATTGAACGTTTAATTGGCGATGCAGCTAAAAATCAAGTAGCTATGAATCCTTATAATACAGTTTTTGATGCTAAAAGACTTATTGGTCGTAAATTTGATGATGCTACTATTCAGTCAGATATGAAATATTGGCCATTTAACGTAATTAATCAAGACAGAAAACCTAAAATTCAAGTTGAATATAAAAATGAAAGAAACAGCTGAAAGTTATCTTGATAAACAAATATCTAAAACTGTTATTACTGCTTCAGGGTGGGTGTGGGTGAGTGTGTGGGTGTATGTGCAGATGTAAGTGTGTGGGTATGGGTATGAGTGTGAGTGTCGCTGTGTGTTTTCTCTTCATTTACACCCACATCGACACACACACTCACACCCTATCATGTCCGATCAAAATTTCTATTCAGGTGTTGTCGATATTGAAAATTAACTAGAGACTAGTGGGTGTAGGTATGAGTTAGTTTTTTAAGTACTCACGCACAAACACACTCACATCTAGTGTTTTCTTCACATGTTTTTTATTCGTTTTGTATACATGTTTACGAAATTTTCTTTTCTTCATAAAAAGACAAGATAAGTTTTCATTTATGTTTCTCTTCGTTTGCCAAGTGTGATAAGAATAGACATAAATTGTCACTTGTCTGCGATATTGCAACAATCCTCAGATAAATACTTTTTTGTATTGAAATTAAGGTAAAAATTCGTATGTGACAATGTATCGCACAACAACATCAGATTTAGAAGTCATTTGCCGTTTCAATCGTGTTCAAAACACAGAAAATATTCAGTTGATTTGGTGTGATGCATGCTGCGTCGATACAACACATATCACAAACATCGAAATCAATTCCGATGTACAAACTACAAAAGCGATGCTTAGCGGATTAAGTCGATCGGTGAGATTCTTCGACAATAGTGAAGAATGCATCGAAAGTATCAAGTCGACAGAAAATAATATCAATATTATATTGGTTATCTCAGGATCATACGCCTCTGTGGTTTTATCTGCCGTACATCATCTTCGGCCATTGTCATTCGTATTCATTTTTTGCCAGTCGGCGAATACTTATTCAGGATTACTTTCCCAATATAGTAAAATTGTCAATATTTATACAGAACAAGCAGAGCTGCAATTGGGAATATCTAAAAAGATAGATCTTCTCGAGCAGCAAGCCTTACAATTTATTGTTTTCAATCGACAACAAAAATCTATTAGAGATTTGACAGAAAATACAGTAGAATCATTGATGTTTATCTTTCATTCGGTTTTACTCGATATACTCAAACGAATGCCAGCCGATGAATATGCTAAGCAACAATTGATTGATATCTGTGAAAAATATTATTGTAATAGTAAACATGATTTAATAATGATTGAACGTTTTCGTGCAACATTTAAACCTGAAGATGCCATTAAATGGTATACAACTAATTGTTTTCTCTTTCGTTTATTAAATCGAGCATTACGAACAGAAGATGTTAATTTATTATTTGCCTTTCGATTCTATATTGTCGTTTTATGTAAAGCACTTGCGAATGAAAAACAAAAATTATCATCGAATACTGACTTAAAACTTTTTCGAGGTCAAAAAATGGCTGTGACTGAATTTGAGTTTCTCCAAAAACGTACTGGCAGTTTTATAACAACAAATGGTTTTCTATCCACGTCATTAGATGCAGATGTCGCCCTAATGTTTGCTGGCCATGGCGCTCCGTGTCCTGAATCATACTGTATCATTTTATTCGAAATTAGAGTTAATGCATCAGTTGAATCCGTCATTTTTGCTTCGATCGATAATGACAGTGATTTTATTGATGAAAAGGAAGTTTTATTCAGTTTAAATACAGAATTCAAAATTGAATCAATTAATTACGATGGCCAGCGTCAGTTGTGGATAGTACGATTGGTTGCCAGTAGTGATGGGAGTAGATATGTGAACGAATTCATAGAATCAGCAAGGATCGAAGAAAAGAGTTTTTTTACACCATTGACTTATTACGGACACATCATCTGGTACGAGTTTCAACAATTAGACCAAGCTGAAAAATATTTTCAAATTCTCATGAAAACATTACCCGCTGATCATCCTGAACTTTCGATAATTTATTACGAACTTGGTTGTTTATACCAAAAGAAGAAAGACTGGTTTGCAGCATTGCAAAATTTGACGTGTGCTCGCAATTTATTATCTACTTCGGAAAATGAACGCAATGAACTGATAGCGATGGTATGGCTCACTATGGGTGAGGTGTATTGTGCTACAGGTGATTTAGACGAGAGTTTAGATTTGTTGCAGCGAGCGTTATCTTTATGGGATTTGGACCACTCACATCTTAGAAAAGCTCGAACATTAGAATGTATCAGCAAAGTGTATGAACTCAAGAATCCTAAACACTATCAAGAGATCATCCTCGATAATTACAATAAAGCACTTGATATATATCAATGCAACTTATCCTTGTACAACGACAAGCTCAATAATTGTCTTCAGAATATTGGTCATTTTCATGATACCATTGGTGAATATGATCATGGTTTGGAATACTACAAGCGAGCACTAGCAATGCAACTCTATCAGCCCTGTGAAGATACTGATACTTTTCTTGGTAGTCTTTATCTACTAATTAAAAGTTTGAAAAAGCGCATCATAGAATTTGAATCTATAAAAACACAGGAGTCAGCTTTTATGCTGTTAAATGAAATTATGAATATAAGAATTCGTACATTAGGTGAGAATGAAGATCATCCGCACATTGCTATTATCATAGGAAGTATGGGCGATTTGTGTGAAGACACACAACCATTCGTCAAAACGGCTTATTATGAGCTTGCTGTTACGAAGCTAGAATTGAATAGTGACTCGTCAGAAATACTGGATCGATTAGTTCAGTATATTGAAAAAATTTATTCTATATATGAGAAAACTAACGATTATGATAATGCACTCAAATGTCTTAAGAGAAAGCTTATCCTTCAACAACAACATTATCCGTCACACGATATTAATATTGTTCACACTTTATCTCAAATGGGTTTTCTTTACCAAAAAAACGGCGAGTCATTCATCTATGGCTTTCTATTATTTTAGTCAAGCACTTACTCTTTATAATAGTGTTGAAAGAGAGGACGACACACAAGATATGGAAGATAATCTAACTCAACTAGTTATGCATGAACTGATGAATATGCGAGACACTACATCATAGAAAGTTAATCTGAGCGCCGAAACATGAACTTCAAAGTAGACTGATTTGCTTCAGATTTTTCTAATAATTATTTAATAGGATCTTGTGAACTTTGAAAGTTGATCCAATATCAAAAATAATTAGTAATTATTCATTAGTAAGCATCCATTTCACAGGTACAAATGAGTTAAGAGGCTGCCGATTATTTCAATATGAAAAGTGATAATGATTGAACTTTATCTTTCTAAAGATTTTCTCATTGCTCGATTGGAATTAGAATTTCACGGTTTTTCAATACGCTATAAAAGAAATCAATTTAGGAAGGGCGTGGGTATGAATGTGAGTGTGCGCAGTGGCAAGGTCAATAGAATACCCGCACCCTCACAGCCATAGCCACAGTCACACCTTTCAGCTCGTACAAGTGTAAAAACACACTTGCTATGAGTTCGTCTGAAGTCAGATAAATTCTGGATATGTCACTGGCTGTAACTATTTTGTTTTCTTACTTAGGCTTTGCACAAGATAACGTTATTAATAAAAATTTTATAGCTAAAGCGAAATGATTGAATTCTTTGAATCGAAAGTTCATAGGAATTCAAAATTCGCAAGTTCAAAAAACTTAAGGAAAACAGGCTTAGAGTGTGGGCAGTTAAAATCTCCAATGCTTCGGCTATCAGATCTTTGAGATTCTGAATTTTTATCAGCTTCTGTTTTGAAGAAGGTAGCTGCATATTAAATACAGGTAACAAGATATATTCCATTAACCTTAGATTCATAAAAATAATCTTCTTCAGTCAAAATCTAGTTATCCTATTTATAACCAAGTCGTTGCCAATATATTTACAACATACACACTGAAGATTTTCTTTTTTCAGCCGCACTTATAATCTTTCAATACATTATCATTCTATTTTCCCATAAGAAAAACATCACGTAAATGGAATCGGTTATCAATATATATGGCATTGTATTTTGGCATATATGTTCACGACAAAATACAATTCTAAACCATATGGAACTTGATAAGGCGAAACATGATCGTTTACGATTGTACATGGCTTTGTCATTTGTTTGTATATGGTCATATAGGTAAGAATGGGTCGAAACCCTAACACTAGAAACGAAAGAGAAAAAAATTATTGCGACTATGATGAAGAGCAATATGTAATTTTTCTTTCCTTCCTTTCTATACGAAATTACGGAATAACGTTTAGTAATAATCACAAGGTATATGTTATTTCGTACTTTCGTACAGGAAGGAAAAAAAATTACCTACAACGTTCGTCATAGCCGTAAGAACTTTTCTTTTTTTTCTCTTCCGTTTCTGACGTTAGAGTTTCCGCTCATTGCTACATACACAGCTGAGACCATCGCAATATTATGCCTGTGTTACTTGGAATGTTTTAACTTATCGACAAACTATTTTTATTTTCATTTTGCGACTGAATAGGAAGTATTTAAGTGCAAATGAAGCATAGCTTGCGTCATATAGGTACTAAAAGAAATTATTCATATTCTATACTCGACAACGAAATACGTTGTTTGCGTAATAGTAGGAAGGAAAAAAATATTATTCATACACGCACAACGATAGAGCAATTAATATGTTTTGCTATATAAACTTACTCATTCGAGTTGAAGTGCTTGGAAGTTTCCAACGTAATATAGGAAGAGTATTCAGTGGAAAGATGTAGGAAAAACCTTGAAAACCAACCATAAAAAGTACAGTGTAACCATGGGTTATATTTCATTTATCTGTTGTTTCTTTCGTTGTAAAGTTAATATAGAATGCCCAAGTACAATTTTATGAATTTGCTATCAGTTGCATCTAAGGCTCCAAGGTGCTACCGATCTGTCCAGTTTGATCTTCTTCGCTCAATCTTTACGTTATGTTGTCCTATCAAGAAGATTCCAATAATAAAACAAAACTATATTGGTGAGTATAGTCGGGAAACAACAATTTTTGTAAAGTACGGTAACAGCGAACGCTGTGTATAAGCTAAGTAACAATAATTCGACAATAAAAATTCTACGTGATGTGAGTGCATAGGTATTCAATATATCGATTGTACTGAATCAAAATTTGTTTCATTAAATAATATCATAAAATGAACTTCATATTGATTTAATGTCCTTCGAACAAAAAACAGCTAAGATCGATCAACTTTCGGAAAAATCAGTAAAAAGGAATCCTATTTGTGATCTCTTCGAAAGGTATTCTTACGAGAGCGGAGAAATACGAAGAAGATGCACCATGAGATGAAGTAAGGAAGAAAGATTAATTTTGAATTTTTTAAGTTCAACAACTCAAATCTTCAGACTCTTTTCTGAGAGGATTCATTGAAAGATCATCTTCAAGATAAGACCATTCCCAAAAGAGCAATGATACTTTTCATAGTAGAAGGTTATGCTTTTTTATTCTGTGGGGCCGAAAGAAGGGAGGAGAGAATGGTTATAATTCTCATTGAGAAATTAGAACAATTTATAAACGTAATGATAAATTAAATAATAAATAGACTATATGATTAGATACTAGCATTTTAGACAGTGGGTTTTATTTGGTTAATTCACATTCCTAATTGTGTTTATCGCATGAAACACATGAGCTTATATAGTAGAAAGAACATGTACCACATGAAAAATGAATATTTTTTTTTAAAAACTGGTAGCTGATGGTGTTCGAGTATTAAGAAGTGCTCAGTAAATATTTCAAATTGGTTGGTTGGAACTTTGCTGAGTATGGATCTCGCCAAGGGGATTCAGCCATTTTTTTTGATCTTAATAGTTGGACAGTTTCGAACATTAACATTTGCTTTTAAGAACTACGTTGAAGCTTTGTCAGATCTCGGGAAACATTGATGAAAGGAGCCAATTGTTGTGGTAATGCACGGCAATTCCTTTTATATTCTGATGTCTCAATACTTCCTATTGGTAAACAAACAGTTTTACGTCCCCTTAAAAATGATAAGTGAAAGACAAATATCCTTTTAACTTAATTATCCATTTGATAATGTAAAATATGTACTACTATTTCTCAATATCAGACAATAACTTCTGCTAATATGTGGCCTTGAAGGAATATGAAATTCGAGTAGTTTCAAAACTCATTATCTTGCTCACTTTAGTCATTACTAAATTTTTTCGTTGAAGTACTTGCTAATTACTTTCTACACATTATATAGGTTTCACACTTGGACATATTACTGAGCGGAAAAATGTATCAACTAGCGTTTCGGCGAACTCTAATATCTTGGTTAAACCATATTGTACGCATGACGAGTTAGATGAGTGTGTTGCTCTTCAAAAGTTGGTTTGGAAGGAGAGCAGTCTTGAGATAATGCCTCGTCGATCTTTTATGATTGCCATTAATACAGGTGGGATCGTATTAGGTGCCTATAAATATCATAATGATACACCTGTTCTCCTTGGCTTCGTATTATCGTTTGCGGGTATTCTTCCGGATAAGAATGCAGGCGTGTACTGGCATGCTGAGATGTCAGGAATTCATCCGAACACACGGAATAAATACATCGGTCGACAATTGCTACTAGAATTACACAATTATGCACTATCCAGAAACATAAAGTTAATCAAATATAATTTTGATCCGACTGAGACACGCAATGCTCATATCTACATTAATCGCACGGGTAGTATCGGACGGCGATATTCGTCTAACCATTATGGTTTATTCTCGTCTTCAGGGATTCCACGCCCATTTGCAGGACGACTCCATATGGAATGTTGGCTTGATTCCCCACACACTCGCCGATGTCTGAACCTAGAAACACCAAGTGGACGTACTGTTCACGGACCAAAGATTATCGATGAAGTGGCAGTTCCATCCAAGATGGGAGAATGGAAACGCACGAAAGATGTTCGCGCTATCAATGCTTACAACGTAATTGATAAAAAGCTGTCGACAGCCTTTGATCGCGGACTCAATGTTCTAGGATTCCGTATCGAGTCTGACGGTACCTCAGTTTACGAGCTAGGGATTTTCAACGCAAGTGAACCATGGTGGTGTCACAATATGTAGTTGTCTAATCTTTTATGCAAAGAAACAGCGTATCATTATTTGGCTAATGTTTCGCTAATGTTGACTTGAAGTGAGAACGTGTATCATTGTCTACGAAGAAATATTTTGTACAAAACAGCGCTCCAACGCCAACTTTTAGAAAAAAAAATCTTATTTTATGGGTGTGTGGATGAGTATGGGTGTGGATGTGATCTACTATACATCCACACCTCTCTCTCTCATTCGACGTTCTGTTCTCGCAAAATTATAATGCTGTTTTTCTCTTAGCACACTCATATCTTTCTATGCAAAAATTTTTCTACTCGATGTAACTTTATTTTCATTAATTCAAAAAATTCACACTGTTCCATCATCAAATAACCTCAAACCACACAACAATAACTCATGATATATGCCAAAATGGCAATAATGTGACTATCCATCTAAAATTAAATTAAATTCAAACACAATAGCTTAGGACTGGCACTTTATCTTTATTTTACCAAATAAAGTAAAGTATCAGAATTTTACTTTACCCAAAAACTAAAGTAAAGTAAAGTAAAAAATATGAAGTTGTATGTTTTAAATTTTTTGGCAATTTCTTAGTTCAGGATCATGTATAGATAATCTTAGAACGTATCAAAGTTTATTCAATATCGTTTCGTCTCAAAATTAGCGTGGAAAAAAAGTAAAGCCGAAAAATATCGATTTTTTATGAATACAGGAAAGATATTGCTTGGTTGACTTTATCTCACTTTATTTTCCACATTCAAACTATAGTATTTTACTTTACTTTACTTTTTCAACGTAAAATAAAGATAATGTGCCATCCCTATGGTAGCTCGAATTAGATCATAAGTGAAACTAACATTGAAATTAGGATTTGAATCCAAATTCAAATCAATACTTTTCTGTGAGCGGAGAAAAAGAGCAAGATTTGTTTTTAATGATTATTCAAATTCAAATTCAAACTAAATATTTTTCTTTTTTCTACACTGGCAGGAGAGTGTTGATTGGAATTTGAATTCGAATCGCAATGTTAGTTACATTTACATTCGAACTCAAACAAGACAGTTAGTCGAAACTGCATACTGAATAGGTCAAAAATCGCGAAACGGAGAAAATAATAGTAATGAATCTATTGTACACGAAGGAACAAGGCAAATGAGAATCTAGTAAATATGGTAGCGTCACAAAATCATAAGGAGACATATTTGCTTATCAGCTCGATTTTCAGGTTACATGTCATCCAAGAAAAAATACATTAATTCCAATTTTTTAAAAGTTCTGTTGGTTTCAACAATTTCTAATTGCCACATAGATCAAACTTGAGGTGTTACTGATTATTATCAACTAATGATAATTTAGAAAAAGAGGAGGCTTGAACTGTGACTTTTTACTCGATCGGGCGGCGGTGGCTAACACCTCTACCTGCACCCACACCCAACACGGTAACTGATAATAGAGATCGATTAGATATGTTCACATGTGTTATATGCAAAATTCAATTGGAAGTCTTAAAATTAAGAAAATACAGCTCTTGCTATTTTTCTTAGGCTAGCATATATAAACCTAATATTTTGGATATGTGCCTAAGTCAGATCGGCCTATTCACTGGCAAAAGATATGGGTGTTCGAGGATGTTCGTGTCGTTTACAGATATCCCTGAGCTAAGAACATTAACACTTTGGATTCAAAGGTTTCCGACATTGCTGATTCATATGTGCATATCAAATCAACAACCCATTGACGCTCTCTTGATACACATTAATGACAACGTTGAAAGTTAAAGTCAAAATAGTCACGTTTTATGAATATTGAATATCCAGTATATAGTGAGAAACTTTCTCTATTATATAGATGATATAATAAAACCGGAAGATCAACATCTCGCATAATTCACTGCAAACAATCAAAGGACGAAAACTGTAATAATGTATGATATCGCCGTTCTGTTAAATCAGCACAAAGATCCTTCGAGCTTTTTATAGATTGACAAAAGCAAGTCTAATTCACCGATGTTTTTGTTAACAAAAGTTTTTAAGTGAAAACTCAAAATTTATTTTGAAAAACTTCTTGCATAATGTGTTAGGAGTAGATGAAACGAAGTAGAGCAAAACATGTACAAGCTAAGAAAAATACACAACGATGTTCTGTCCAGAATTATAAAGTGTTTAATTAATTCATAGCCAAATCAGGAATCGTATTAAACTGGTTCCAACAAGAAAGATTTCGAGAAGACGGAGTATATTTGTTAAACATACACTTACACATTGAGAAAAATAGATCCAGTGTAGTACTTGATAGATTCCAGCTGAACACTCGTACACTCTTATAGTTCTGCTGAATTAAAAAAATTCAAGCATTTATAGTATGTATCAAGAGCTTTTGAATAGTATTCTATAGCTTCCGTACATTTACCCAAGCGATGATAAAGGTCGCCCATATTACGCAGCGTTGTAACCGTACTCCATTGCGCTGTAATAGATGCGTGCTGATTAATGCTCAAGGCACGCTCATGAAGTTCAAATGCGGTATGATAATCGCAAAAATTTCCATATGCGAGTCCTAAGTTGCGATAGCTTTGAGCTAGAAGTATATGATCCAATGGTAAATATATTTTTCGTATGTTTAGCGAACTCTTGAATAACCTAATGGCTTGTTTATGCTTACCACATAATAGACTAAGATAGCCATAATTATTCAAACAAGAAGCGATTTGTAAATCATCAAATGAATCTTGTACATCGGCCTGCGCATATGTTTCTAAAACTCGTTGACATGTGCTGATAATTTTATCAACATCATTCTGCTGCCATTGGATAAGACAGTCAATATGTCGAATGAATGCCCAATCGATCGCTTTGTAGGCTATCCATGACAATTTTTGTCGATCTTCTGACAGAGATCTGAGGCTTCTATTAGTGTCAGCACTCTGCTCATATCGTATCGTTTTTGAACAGATTTTATCACTTCCATACGACATTAATTGATACGAAGACATATTGCATGGCATTGTTCGAAATTGTTGTATACATGCAACTTTTTCATTTGTCGCTATGAATCGGCACAACCACATACCGTTTGATATATCGAATGTGAGCATGTCAACTCGAAATGTACTACCAATATCGAAAAGAACTTCGTTTTCTTCATCAAAATTACTCATACCAGCAATATCAGCAGCGATGATTGCAGGCGAACTCAAATCAACATAAATTTCAAGCAATAATGATCGTGAATTATCTGCTTGCCAATCGGATGGAGATGCATATGTTAATGCAATATCCTTATTTCGACTTGTTGACATGAAAAATTTAACAGCAACGACAAGGCCAACGAGACCTCGTAATACATTCAATTCTTCGTCAGATTGCCGAATACCTCGATATAGGATAGTCATTCCTGCTTTCTCCAGTACTTTTTGTTGTTGATATTTTAATGCGTGAAGTTGTGCACTTAAATCGGCAATATAAAAACGTAGTGCGTAACAGCTGTCAATATCTCCAAAGCGTAATGTTTGATTCACAAATCGATAAACAAAAGATTCTTTTGTGTACCAATAAATAGAATCTTCACGTCGATAGTTTTCTGCAAAATTTCGAATATCTGCAAGTCTGTTGTTATTGGCGTAGAGTTGTAGACAAAAATCAAGCATAGCCGGTTTAGCTAGTGCACTTTCGTGTATCGTTGAAAATACAGTTTGTAATAATCGTTCGTAATCATATGTATTTGACTGTAATAATTGAAACTGAATTGATAGACTTGACTTTGAATCAGCGTATTTTCTAATTTTCTGACCAATATCAGTTCTACGATAAAAATCACGAAGTAAATTCTTCGACTGTTCAGAAATACTTTCTTCGCTGCTCTTCTGTTCAGATGAGAGAACATGCTGAGAATGTCTTTGGAAATGGTTTTGTTCATATTCGCAAGAGTGTAAGATAATCATCGTTATTCAATAAATTACCAGATGCTATAGCTCCCAGTAAAGGCTTCATCTTTTATGCTTTCGTATTTTCTTTTTTTGCATGTAATATAATATACTCGTATTTGATTTAGCGCCATATGGTTGATTTTCGTAATTTTTATTGTTTCACATAGCTCTCAAAAATCCCGAGATAGATAGACTCATTGTCTCTTATGTGTTCGATTATATTCATACTGCATCGTATTTGTGACCCAATTAACGCCCAATTTCGTCTATAATTGCGCATAGTGCTTCATTTATCAAAGTAGCAGTACAGTGACTAAATAATATTGCGGACGGTCACACAAGAGGAAACGACACGTTTTAACATATTTCTGACCTAAAAAGACTGTTTTATACAGCTGCAATATGATAATGTAGAGAAAGTGAACTGTATTAATGATTGAAAACAAGTTGATGAATAGCCTTTTGCTATGATCAGCCGTTTTAAATCTGTTTCATCAGAAAATCGCCAAAAACAGACATGCTTCAACGATATCATTTGGAGTGTAACTGTGGGTGTGGATGGGTGTGAAGTCTGGGTATGGGTGTTGGTATGAAAAAAGCACAAGAGAGCACCTACAAAATATCCACACCCACACCCACACTCACATACACACCACACCCACATCCACACGATACCCCACCCCAGTCACACCCATACCCACCCGAAAACGACGCGCACAAGAGGCAGAAGAGAGACGAAACGAACAGCTGCAGAGGGATGCAGTAAGGTATTGTTTACGGTACCTGCAACAATCAGAAAGACAAAAGCAAGAGCGACCACGAAAAATTGCGTCATGAGCAAAAAGACGAAGGAACCAAGAGACTAATGATGAATGACGTGAATAGTAATCGAAAGATACATCACGAGCAAAACAACGAAGAGAACAAGAAATTGATGATGAATGACGGGAACTAGGGTGGGTGTAGGTATAGTTGTGAGGTGTGGATGTGAGTGTGAGCAGTCTTCTGATGCATACACAAACCCATCCACACAACTACACCCACACTTACCCACACTCTCTCGACGTATTTTCTTTAAACCAAATTGATAAAATTGGATAGAAATCTTCTTTCCTTCTATCTTCGAATAAGTCATGAAGCATATATTTGATGCCATTAATTCGAAACAACTTTTTTCCTATCACCATGCACGCATAAGCAGATAATAGCTGTAACTATTCAAACGAGGTGCGACAGGTAGAATCGTGAAGCAACAGACTGAGCATTAGTCTGAATGAATACGATCAAAGAGAGTAGAGAAGTTCATCTGATTTTTAAGCACTGCCCATGATCATGCTTCGATTAATGCTGAATATTCGTTGGTATGTTATATCAACGAAAAAGTTAAATTACAAAAGTAAATCCTGAGAAGCATCGATCTTGGAGACAATCAGCAATCAATGGTAGAATTTTCGAAAGCACGTATCAAAACTGATAGAATTGGGGTTTGGGGCAGCCAATCGATATTTCTGACAAGTGAATAAAGGCTTTTCACGAATATGAAGACAAAATATGTCACCTATATTTATACTCGCATTTTAACTTTTCGAACCTAATTGCTTATCGATCTGAATAAATTTCTTCGTTTTTTATTAAATGATCTGATCAGTCTATTTAGTCGTCAACATTATAATACGTTTGATAAATTACTTATCTTCTTTCTAGAACAAAAACTGTAAGTATTGTAGTCCGTTGACCTTTATGCACAGTTAATTTATTTAATTATCTCTTTAAAAAGCACACTAAAATCTGCATTTAAGATTATAATATATTGAATTTCGCTAAAACTGTACAATTAATAAACAAGTAACGTTCATCGTCAAGCGATTCACTTAGCCCTAGACTGATAGAATACATGTACGGAAGGAATAGCATAAAAAGCTACATTAAAAAAGTAATGCGCAACATTGATAATATGACCAGTATACCTTAGGCGACCAGAAAACTTAATTTGGAGAATTCTCACTTTAAGTAAAGATGATGCATTTACAAATTTAATTTTTTTTTATCGTTTTTGTTTTATTTTTTTTTTGCTTTTATGAATATAAATAGCGCCTAATAAGATTAGACAACAATACGATTTTTTTATAATTATATTGGCGCTATTTGTACGTACAAAAATATGAATTATATTATTCATAAAATTTGAGTTTTATTAATCAATATTTTATACTTAAATTCACGCATTAATTCTAAACTATTAATAAATTAGATATTCATTGATACAACATTGCACAATCAATCTTACAATAATGAATAATTTAAACGATTTCTTTAAATCCATACTGCTCATTTGGTCTGACTCTCACTAATTAAATGCTTGTGTAAGTAAGCCGTTTTACATCACTACCCAAATTATAGTTATTCCATTGACATTTTACCCATGATTATTATGGGTTCATTTACATCAGTCTTTAGATGGTCATTTGTACCATAGTTACCGGAATAGTTGTTTGTACCATGATTGCTATATGGTCACTTGTGCCATAGTTATGTGGTCGTTTCTACCAAAAAAAATGACCGTTTGTGCCATAGTTACATGCTCATTTGTACCATAGTTACCTAGTTAATTTTAGTAAAAAAATGGCCGTTTGTGCCAAAAAAATGGTCACTTGTGCCAAAAAAATGGCCATTTTGACTGCGTTACCGACAGACAGACGGACAGACAGACACAGATGAATTTCGGTTTCTAGACGCTAGCCTTTCAGTCTTGGGAATAGAAAGAAAATCTTATTTTATTGGCTTTGCGCGCCATTCGAAATATATATTTATTTTTATTTTAACGATCACATAGTTACCATATGGTAACCATACTTGTTACAGACAGACAGACAGACAGACAGACACAGGCGAATTTCCGTTTCTAGACCCTATACTTTCAGTCTAGGGAATACGTTATATAACATATCACCTAATAATGTTACAGTGAAAGTCATACAATCATTTTTTACATAATGTTGTTTTTGGTAATAATTTCAGCATGTAAATATCATCGATAGAATTATAAGAGTGAAAAAAAATCTTTGTTCCTTTCATTTTTGTTTATGATTGATTAAGCAAATGTGCAAAACAATGGTACAAAATCAACTACCACACTATTGAGAAGAGAAAGACCATTCTATAAATGCATATATTTAAATAAATTATATTTCTTTGATAAATTCCTATACTGTAATCTATTGTGGATCAATCAATAGGTACTATTTTTTCACCTTATTTTTCTATTTTCAATAATTCATAAGCACGCCTATTACTTTCATTATGAAATATTGTCGTTTCAATGCAACAAAGCGATCAGATCTTTAGGTTTATCCATCAAATATCTGCTGTATTAAAGTCCACGACGATCTAATAACTTACACTGTTAAAAAACTTTTTAAATTGAAATAATAACGGGTGACATAGAAATAATGGTCGCATTTTATATTTCATATTGTCATCTCTAAATAAGTATCATTTAAAAAAAATATGCCACAAGATGCAGCGTGAAAAGCTCTACAATTTATGCAAGACAGCCTTTCCTAGAGTTGCACTTTTTGCTTTCAAAAGCGACGACATTTGGAATAATCAAATTTCGACCGTACGAAAATTGATCGCAGAGAATTTTGATTTTTTTCAAAACAATTACAATAAGCTGTCTTGTGTAAATTGTAGAGCTTTTCTCGTTGCATCTAGTAGTATTTTTTTTTAAATAAAAGATATTAGGTGATAAAAAGATGAAATAAGAAAAAAAGGAATCCATCTTGTACAAAAAAAAATGTTTTTGCATGGTCGAAATTTGATCGCTCAGCAGATTTTGAAAGCAAAAGTGCAATTGCAAGAAAATGTGTCTTGTATAAATTGTAGTGCTTTTCACGCTGCATCTTGTGGTACATTTTGTTTTTTAATGACACTTATTTAGAGATAACAATATGAAATGCAAAATGCGGTCATTATTTCTATGTCACCCGTTATTATTTATGTGTTTCATAAATAAGATACATGCCTCGAGATTTTACAGTGTTTCATCAGATTCTAAAGTAGATTCTTTTAGGGAAAAAGAAAGAAACTTTTCCGGACAGCATAAATTTCGTCATAGTGACTTTTGGATCAGGTTGGAGTCTCTATGTCTACCACATTTACATGGATATCGTATCATTTTCATTCATTTGTTATTGAAGAGAGAACTGTTTGGTTAAAAATCTATCATTTATATGGATCCATATGGATTAATAAAAAATTCAAACAAAGAATCAATGGTGATAATGTGATTATGGATATGCCAACACTCATATGTCGCTGACCAGATTTCTCAAAAGAACCCGAATTGTTATCAAGTCGTTTTGTTTTGACTACTGAGATATGCACCGACTAAGAGCGCTAGACTAACGTTCTTGATGAGACAGCCCATTTGAATAAGGTTTACATCTTTTAATCAGTCGCACTCACAGCCGTATCCAACATCATCCATTGCCAGAATTTTTATAATCTGTGCAACTAAATTTTTGATTAGTTTGTTAGCATCTGTTAAAAAATAAGAGACAATGTAGTAAAATTTTATTCTGTTTGAAACAAGAGGTAACTATGCAGCAGAAAAATTAAGAACATCTATCATGACTCAGTTTTGTAAATTATATTTGAATTGCATTTCAGAAAAGGCCAGAAAATGTGGAAAAAAGTTTTAAAACAGAAGAAGTTAGTCA